TGACTACTAAACTAAGCCGCGATGACTGGCTTTAAAGTGCTAGTTTTTAATGGTACAAATTTATTGTACAGCCAATGTTAGAGTTGATTAAATCAAGTTGCGTGTCAACCATCGGAAGGGAATATATAATGTTCCAATCGCAGAGACGGCAATCTTCAATTAACCTAGTATAGTCAATGTTTTTGAAGTCTCTGTATTGGATGGTCTGTTTGTTACTGTCAATTTGCATATCATACGTTAAAAATAAGAGATCATGAAAAAGCAGGTACTGAGACTTGGTCATATAGCAAAATGTTTTTTGGTTTGTTGAAAAAAATTACATCTAATAAAGTGTTAGTGGTCTTCGAGAAATGGTCTTCGTCGGTAAAATTGTGTTCCCAGGGTTAAGTCCAATGGACTCCATTTCATTTAGTAGATGTTTCTCTTTTAATATGTTACTATTTTGGTTCAACTGTTAGTATAATGTCCGTGTACGTCAGTGTTAGGTTAATTATTAAATCTATCAGGTTAGAGTAATCAATATTCTATTTATTTTTTCTGAACTGAAAACATTATAACCATCACATGGAATATACTAATCATTCAAATTTGGAACAAACCACGTTTCGGACACACAAATAACATCTATATACGAGTTGACAAACATAAACCGAAACTCTTCTACCTTATTCACTAAACTTTGTGCATTATTATGACACATTTTAAGACCAATTTTCCGCTTGCTCAGAATCCTAACCATTGCATGGCTGTTCGCTCTGGTTGAACTTAAGTTACCTACCATTTAATAGGAAATATAAGAGAAAACGAATTACATAATCTTGTTATGTCTATATGTTACGTCTATAAAAATTTCAAAATGCAACGAATCTTCTAGCGCTATCTGCGTCTGTTAGGACTGGGTATTTCTCTATGACGTCATATTTATTGTCGTCTGGTAAATACCTTTATCAGTACACTTATGACCTAGAATGGTTACTTCGTTTGTGAAGAATGAGCACTTTTCAGGGTGCAATTTAAGGTTGTGTTTCCTACACAAATCAAAAACGCTGGTGAGGTTTTTAATCATATGTTTCTCGGAACAGCCGATGACAATGAGGTAATCCATATACTAGAATGCCTGAGAAGGTTCGATACCTGAAAAGTCAATTGTCATCATTCTTTTTGAAGAATTCTGTAGTTTTTTATTTATACCGGTTCATCATCTTTCATTCTTATCTTTTGTTTATAAAAATTATTAGTTGATATCGATTCGGTTTCTGTTCCGAATATATCACTGTATTTGGTGCATAATTCTGTAAGAATAGTTTTGAACTGAATGGGGAAGTTTTTATCTAACTTGTCTAAAATTTCGGTCTGATTACACTACTCGACAAAATTGAAATTTTTCTTTCCGCTGTCGACAAAAATGACTTTTTCTGATAGATTTCGGGATTTAAAAATTTTTGTAGCACTTTGTTTTTTATACCCGTACTCAAAAAAGAGTTAAGGGGTATATTAGATTTGTGGTAAAAGTGGATGTGTGCAACGCAGAGAAGGAAACGTTTCCGACCCCATAAAGTATATATATTCTTGATCAGCATCAATAGCCAAGTCTATATAGCCATGTCCGTCTGTCCGTCCGTCTGTCCGTCTGTCCGTCTTGATGAGCGCCTGGATCTCAGAGACTATAAGAGCTAGAGAAACCAAATTTGGTTTCCAGACTCATGTGATATCACACTGCTACAAGTGTATTTCAAAATTTCGCCCCGCCCCCTTCCGCCCACACAAAGGACGAAAATCTGTGGCAGGCACAGTTTTAAAGATACGATAAAACTAAAAACGCAGTATCGTAGAGAATGCCCATATCTACCAGATTGCCGAATCTGAATCAGATCGGATCATAATTATAGCCAAAATGAAGAAATTAATTTTCAGTTGCTTCCCCTCCCCCTCCCGCAACCGTAAATGCGTCTCATTTTCCTTCTCGCTCGCACATTCTGCCGCGTTCAGTGCGCGAGCAACCCCTAGCGGAGGAGATGTAGAATCTAATTGGAACATGTAAAATCTACATGTTAGATGTAGAATATACATTGTATATGAGATGTAGATATCATATGTAGCAAAAAAATGTAAAATTTTTTTTATACCCGTACTCAAAAAAGAGTTAAGGGGTATATTAGATTTGTGGTAAAAGTGGATGTGTGTAACGCAGAGAAGGAAACGTTTCCGACCCCATAAAGTATATATATTCTTGATCAGCATCAATAGCCGAGTCGATAGAGCCATGTCTGTCTGTCCGTCTGTCCGTCTGTCTGTCTGTCTGTCTTGTCTTGTTGAGCGCCTGTCTCAGAGACTATAAGAGCTAGGGCAACCAAATTTGGTTTCCAGACTTATGTGATATCACACTGCTACAAGTGTATTTCAAAATTTCGCCCCGCCCCCTTCCGCCCCCACAAAAGACGAAAATCTGTGGCAGGCACATTTTTAAAGATACGATAAAACTAGAAACGCAGTATCGTAGAGAATGCACATACCTACCAGACTGCCGAATCTGAATCATATCGGATCATAATTATAGCCAGAATGAAGAAATTAATTTTCAGTTGCTTCCCCTGTCCCCCCTCCCGACGACGACAACGAAACTCATTTTCCTTCTCGCTCGCACACTCTGCCGCGTTCAGTGCGCGAGCAACCCCTAGCGGAGGAGATGTAGAATCTAAATGGAGCATGTACATTGTACAATCTACATGTTAGATGTAGAATATACATTGTAGATGTAGATGTAGATATCAGATGTAGCAAAAAAATGTAAAATGTAAAATTTTTTTTTTTTCTAAAATTCTAAAAAATCATAAGATCAAAAATGTATATACTGACTGAGTACGGGTATAGTAGAGTCGCGTCCCCAGAAGCGACTCGCACGTCCTTCTCGTTTTTCTAAAATTCTTAAAAATCATAAGCTCAAAAATGTATATACTGACTGAGTACGGGTATAAGTAGAGCCGCGTCCCCAGAAGCGACTCACACGTTCCTTCTCGTTTTTTATGGTTTAATTTTTTTTTAAAGAATTTTTAAAATCTTTTTTTTTTAGAGGTAGTGCTTCTATTTTTCACATAACTTAAGTATCTTATATTTAGTTGCATAGAACTGTTCTGACACTACCTCTGAAAAAAACATTAAAAAAATATATTTTAAAATTCTTAAAAAAAAAAATCATAAAAAAAAACAAAGTACTACAAAAATTGTTAAATCCTGAAATCTATCAGAAAAAGTCATTTTGGTCCACAGCGTAAATGTCGTGTTGACTATTGTTATTATTAGGATTGGAATCATCGTAATCATCTAATGGTTCAAATTTGATTGTGTTTAATTCAATAATTGCTTTTGTATTTAAAATTCGGGCGATCTTGTAATATTAATAGGATACTTGAAATTATTTGGTCTCAGGATGAGGCAATCATTTTCTGGTTTTAAGTCTATTTGACAATGGAATGTTTTTATGAAATCGCAAGGAATAGGAAAGTTTAAATCTACTTTATGAAAATTATGTGAAAAAGCATATTTACCTGAGAGAAATTCTATGAGTGCTAATACTTTGGAATTGGTTGAACCTTAACCAATACCTGATATTTGTGCGATATTTATACCCGTACTCTAAAAGAGTTTAGCGGTATATTTTATTTGTGGTAAAAGTGGATGTGTGCAACGCAGATGAAACGTTTCCGATCCCAAAAAGTATATATATTCTTAGCGAGCATCAATAGCCGAGTCAATATAGCCATGTCCGTCAGTCCGTCCGTCTTGATGAGCGCCTAGATCTCAGAGACTATAAGAGGTAGAGCAACCAAATTTTGTTTCCAGACTTATGTGGTATCACATTGCCACAATTGTATTTCAAAATTTCTTCCCCCGACCTCCTCCAGAAAGGGACCCGCTACTCATTCTCTTTCTAGCTCGCACACTCCGCTTCGTTCAGAGTGCTAGCGGAGTAGATGTATAATCTAAATGGTAAATGTAGAATCTGGCAGGCAATCAAAAAAGGGGCACACTAGAAGTGGTGCAAGCTAAACAGCAACCCTCTGATCACCAGTCGATAACCATTAATCGATAGCCTTGCCGAGAGTCGATGTGTGCAGGAAATCGTTTGTATCGTGTCGTTGAGAAAAGAAGAAAAATACAGTTGTCCCCTGGAATATTATAATTTCCTACATGTTATATGTGGAATATTCATTGTAGATGTAGATAACAGATGTAGCAAAAACATGTAAAATGTAAAATTTTTTTTGAATTCTACATAAATCATAAGCTCAAAAATGTATATACTGATTGAGTATGGGTATAGAGTCGCGTCCCCAGAAGCGACTCAAACGTTCCTTCTCGTTTTTTATTAAAGGCTAGCGGACCCGGCGAACGTTGTATCGCCCCATTTCATCGCCTTCAGATAAACTCCACATTGATTAATCCAACAGACTCTCAAAGATTGGCTTTGCTCTTTATTGTATGAATGCAGCTCCTCAGCGATTTGATCTTGAATAATGGAATTCAAGCTATCGACATCATATGTCTCGATACGTATGTCGATTTTCCGACAGTAAACTAATTTTTCAGCTGCGCCTTTTTATCCGTTTGTTCCACATGAAAATCATTTCTAGCGGACCCGACAGACGTTGTGCTGTCTTAACTATAAATATTGATTTCGAATTGGTATAATTAACTAAAAAATATTTTAGAAAGAAAGTAAACACTTTCTTATTATAATGCTTTAAGATAAACATTCATTTCTTTTCTCTGGCGCGTATATAAATAGTTTGGTTAGTACTCCGACTCGGGAACAGGCGACATATAACTGGCCATGCGAAAAACATTGATTTTCAAGATTAATGCCATAAACAATAAGCGACTGCCCTTGAGATTTATTTATAGACATTGCAAATGCTAGCCTCACTGGAAACTGTAACCGTTTAAAGCCGAATGGCATGTCGTTCGAAATCAAAGCAATCCATGAATCAAAACGTCTTCTCCTTTATATTTCCATTTCAAAATTATGGCTTCGATGACGCTGTTCATTATTTTTTCACCGCAAGTCGGGTGCCATTACAAAGAAGTGGCTGGTTTATATTCCGCAACATAATAATTACCGCTCCGATCTTTAGTTGCAGATTATGAGGTGGTAGTCCGGGAAATTCCATCGAATTTAAGAACTCCGTTGGATAGTTGACCACATCATCTTGGTTAGTAACGGAATCAATCGATTTGTATGTTATTAATTTGCCAGCTATATTATTTTGAATTTGGAAATTCATTTCGTTGACATCAACGTTTTTTGCAGCCAATATAACTCTTTCGCTCAACCATACATGATATTTTTAAAATTTCGAGCAATGTTTGGGAAAACCTTCTCGATGAGTTGTGTCTTTGTTTCAGTAAAGTTACAAAAATTGGTAGGAAATGTGATGTATCCAGACAATGAGTCAACAGGTATTTTTTCATTACCAATATCTAGCAATTGTTTGGAAAAAACTTCTCCAGATTGCTCCTTCTGCAATTCGACTCGCATGTTATTATTTAATTTGAGCGTTTTAACGTCTTTCCATAAAATTGATGACTTTAAACATGCGTTAAGTTCGTCGGCTGGTGTTGATCGTGGTATTACTGGTAGTGTTTGGCGAAAATATCCTGCTAATAAAATCAGTGCACCACCAAACCGGGTTTGGTTCTTTCGGAAATCTTGCAACGTGCGGTCTAATTCTTCCAATGATTTTTTGTCTGCCATCGTGCACTCTTCCCAAACTATTAATTTTCTCTGTTGCACCACTTTGGCCATCGCAGAATTTCTTGAAAGGATGCAAGTTGGTGTTTCATTTATTTGCATGTTCAACGGCAACTTGAGTGTGGAATGAGCTGTTCGACCGCCTTCCAACAACGTAGCTGCAATACCTGACGAAGCAAGTGCAAGTGCGATACCATTTTGCGCATTTTGCGCAAAAGCATTTAAAAAAAAATTCGCCAGTTTCATTGTTCACTACTTTCATTAGCGTACCGTAGACATATTTTTGTTGCTCATTTAAAAAGGGAACGTTTCTTTTAATGCTTCGGAATCATATTTCGTTTCGCGTCTCATTAAATGATTAAATGCGTCGTGCATTTGGCGATTGGGCGCTGTTCTAACTGTATTAATGCTTTGTTGGCAAGCATCAAGCACATGTCTTCAATTAAAATTAATGCTTTATTCTACATTTCTTCATTTATGTGCAAATTATCTTCGGCCATGTGATCTTTATACTAGTTCCACAAATCAATCGGTGTTGATGGGAAGCATGTAGACAAAAGTATGGCAAACAATGTTAGTATTTGTATAGCATTTGACGAAATCACAGCATCTTCGAGAGTGTGATCCCAATGAGTGTCATTCTCGAGCAGTCCTATACGTTGACATGCTTCTCTGTATATGCCGCACAATACGCCATTAACAGTTCGCAGATGTTGGAATGATGTTGGGCCACGAACATTGATTAACAGTAAACGCAAATAAAAACACTCGTCTTGGCTGGGATGCACTGTGTAAAGACGTCCTAGTGCATCTGTTGAGAATACTTGTTGGTAATTTGGAACTGGCTGTCCTTGTTTTCGTCGTTGAAATTTCTTTAATGATTGATTCGTGGCATTTCGGAATAAAGCAGTGTTCTTGCAAAGTCATCATTCTGGCACATTTCAAAGAAGCTTGTCAATGCTGTTGATGGCAGCCTCTCAATTCTTTGTAATACGTTTATCGTTGTAAGTACACCCTTTGACCATTTTCCAGATGTACGGCCAAATGAACAACAGTAGGGTATCTTTCAGGTATTGGAAATGAAAAAATACGCCACATCGCCTCATTACTACTGAGTTATCTCGTTTGAATTTTCGGCAGCAACTCCGAACACAGCCATGTCACTACCTTTGTTCACGTACTTGGAGATATATTTTATTGGTTTTAAGGAATGGCAATATTCTACATTTATGTGTGCTTTAAATGTTTTGGAGAGTAACGGCGAAAACGGAACAACCCAATGATTATCAACTTCAATGTCATGCTGATTTACTTTGATTGTTTTTGTCCTTCCGTTGTCGTCAGTGGATCGCCTGCGATAAAGTGGGTTACCATCATTTCCACTAATCGTTTCTGCTACTAATTGTCTTGGAAAGCGTTTTGAACATTTTCCATTCACCATACACGGAGAATTTTAATTTAATGTTCCACAGGGACCATGAATCATATTTATTGTAACAGTCTGATTGAAAATCCGGAATGTTTTTCCCGGAACGATGATGTGTGATGACGCCGGTCCAGCAGCTCTAGATGGGTTTTTCCTACAACGGTGGTATACGATGTCAGCGAAGATGCAACCAAAACGCAGCCGTTCAATTTAAATTCATTTAATGCACTGGTCGCAGCCAGCGATGCTAACGTTCGCCCACTCCAGAAGGGAGCCGATCGAACATGCTGGGAGGTGGCGTAACAGCGACTGAGCGTAACAATTCATTAACTCTTATACTATTATACTATACTGCTATTCTATGCTAAGTTATGATATTTTGCTGCTGCTGCTTCAACATTCCGGCCCCGTTGAAGGCCTCCGGCGCTTCAACCATCCATTGGCAATTTTGCCAGTTTTTGGACTGCTCGTTTAATAACGCCTGCGGAAGTTCGCACCTCTGCCACGCGCACTCTCCCATCTTCTCCTGCCGTCGTTGCCACCACTCGCCCTGTGGTCCACTTCTGAGGCGTGTTGTCCTCGTGAACGAGCACTAGGCATCCTGCCTCGAGGTTCGGTCCTTCTGTAGACCATTGCTGCCGCTGCTGCAGCCAGCCAGGCCAGGTAGTCCTTGGACCAGCCCTGCCAAAACTGCTGTTTGAGCGCGGACAGCATGCGCCACCGCTTCAAATACTCGAAGCCGCCCTTGATGCAATTGGCGTTGCTCTCGGTGGTATGAAACACCACTCGACGCCGTGCTGTGCTGCGTACGTCCTGAGCCGATCCTGATCCCTCCGAAATGCTGCGTGAAGCTCTTCCAATACTTGGCTCGCGCCCACGAAGTTGGTGGCGTTGTCGCTGTAGACCTTCTCCGGAAGGCCTCTCCTCCCGACGAACCTTTTGAAAACACACAAAAAACTGTCAGTTGATAGGTCGACTACTAATTCGAGGTGAACAGCCTTTGAAGCGCTGCACACGAACACGGCTACATAGGTCTTAATGGGGGGCCTGCCTCGAATTTTGAGGGACACCTGAAACGGACCGCAGAAATCTACCTCACAAATCAGAAAGGGGCGAGCTCTTCGCACTCGGTCAGCTGGCAGGTTTCCCATGATCTGTCCCATAAGGATGGGCTTGTATCGGAAACAGTGCACACAATTCCTCACGATTCTTGTGCATGCTTCTCGGGCGTTCAATAGCCAAATCTGCTGCCTTAGAAGGGAAACCATTACTTTTGCACCTGCATGATAATGAGCACGATGCAAATGGCGTAGAAACAGTATCACGAAATGCGACTTTTGCGACAGCAGTAGAGGAAACTTCGCATCGTATGGAATTTCTGCGTGCAGCAATCTTCCCCCAACACGAATCAGTCGGAAGGTGACTCCGCCGAGTTCGCTCGTGTGTATGAACGGGCTGAGTCGTTGAAGATGTGGAGACAAAATTTCCGACCTATCCAGTTTGAGGTATTCCGATCCAAGCTCACATCTTTGGACTACCTGTACCAGCCTAAGAAATGAGACCTTCAGCTCCTTAGCTGACACAACCACATCTTGACTGCGATTGCCACCTTGAATGAACCGATTCACATACGCCATGATCCGAAGCAACTTCTGAAACGACGAGCATCTTCCAATCAGCTCGATGACCTCATTAGTCTGACCCTTTGCCACAGAATGTGCTGCCACACTTTTCTTATCTTCTGACTTTTCCATTTCTGGAGACAACTCAACCTGATGAAGAAGCTGCCAATTCTCAGGACCACTAAGAAGAAAATGCGGCCCATTAGTCCACAATGAGCACATTACACCATCTACATCTGTTCCACGGGACACTAAGTCTGCTGGGTTTTGATCGGTGGGAACGTGACGCCAAATCACACCACTGGACAACTCCTGGATTTCAGCAGCCCTATTGGCCACAAACGTTGCTAGTGTGGCTGGGTCCCTTTCCAGCCAATACAAGGTGACCTGGGAGTCCGACCAAAAGTTCACGCTTTCAATTACCAACTTATCTAGCAGCAGTCGAACTTGAGACCATAGCGTGGATAGAAGAAGCGCTGCACACAATTCGAGTCGTGGAATTGATTTCGTTTTAAGAGGCGATACTCGGGACTTTGCTGTAAGAAGTCGGGATAAAACATTTTTATCGTCCTTGGTACGAACGTATATACAACATCCGTACGCATCACCTGATGCGTCAGCGAATCCGTGTATTTGGATAGTGGAATTATTGGCAAGACCGATAAAGCGAGGTATAGAGATTTTGTCCAAGTCGAATAAATTCTGCTTGAACCTGTTCCAACTCGTATGCAGACTCATGGGAACTGACTCATCCCAATCCAACTTTTGTCTCCACAGATGCTGCAGCAAGATCTTTGCCCTGGTAATTAAGGGACATAGTAACCCTAATGGGTCGAACAATCGCGAAGCAACTGACAATATGTTGCGCTTCGTAGGGGGTAATGAATCAAAGGAGTCGTCCAGCTGATAGTGAAACAAATCAGTTTGCGGATTCCAACGAATTCCGAGTGTTTTAATGGAAGCGGAAGGGTCAAACTGAAGAGACTTTTCCTGGCCACTATCGGACAGCAGATGGGGATGATTTGACGCCCATTTGGCCAACATGAAACCCCCCGCTTCCAGGACCTCACTCACTTCCTGCCGAATTCTTCCCAGTTCTTCCAGACTATTTGCTCCTGTCAGCATATCATCAACGTAAAAGTCATTTGCTATGACTTGCGAGGCCACAGGATGGGACTTAGCATAGACTTTTGCTAGCTCAACGAGACAGCGGATGGCCAGAAATGGAGCTGAAGCTGTCCCATACGTGACCGTATTCAGGCGATAAGTTTGCACGTCAATATTTGCTTTCTCCCTTCAAAGAATCAATTGGAAATTTCGATCTTCTTCAGCAACCTGCACTTGCCTATACATCTTGGAGATATCCGCTGTAAGGGCAAAACGGTTTAATCGAAACCGTGCAAGAGTTGCAAAAAGCTCCCTCTGAATAGTGGCTCCCACCATCAAAGTCTCGTTTAAAGAGATTGAAGTTGAAGTTTTACTCGATGCATCAAACACTACACGGAGCTTGGTGGTGCTACTATCAGGTCTCAGGACACATTGATGCGGAATATAGTAATGGTGTCCTGGAGGAGTGCCTGGAAGCAATGACATGTGACCAAGGTTGAGATACTCTTTCATAAACTCCATATACATGTCATGCAGGTACTGATCACTTGCGATTCTGCGTTCCAGGGAAAGAAAGCGGCGTTTTGCCGTCTCGAAAGAGGAACCCAAAACCTTGGGATTCATTTTAAACGGCAACTTTACTTCGAACCGACCCGACTCAAGCCTGCGTGATGTCTGCTTGAAGTTGCGTTCGCAAGCCAACTGTTCAGCTGTATGTACAGCCTTCGACTTCTCTGGGACATGTTCCAATTCCCAAAAGCGCTCCACCAGAGAGTCGAGAGAACACGTATCGCTACCAACAGCGTTATTGCATACAACGTCCTGTTTTGATGCAGTATATTTTCCCGAAACAATCCAGCCCAACAACGTTTTCTGGATTGATGGATGTTCGGAACTTGGCTTTATTTGGCCCACACATATCAATTCGAAGAAGGTTTCTGCCCCTAGCAGTAAGTCGACCTTAGCAGGCTTGAAAAAATGTGGGTCTGCCAGCTCAAGGTTTGCTGGAATATTCCACTGGGCGAAATTTACGACATGGTCGGGTTGGTATGTGGAGATTGAACGTAAGACCCAAAAATCGGTTGAAAAATGATGAGCGTTGACACGAGATTGGACGGACGTGTGAACCTTGTTCTTTACGACGGACGAACTTTTTCCAACAGTTGTGATACTAATGCATGACTCGTCACGGTGCAGGCTTAGGCGCTGTGCGAGATCCTCGGAAATAAAATTTATCTGGGAGCCGGAATCCAGCAGCGCCCTAGCATATTGGAACTGTCCGAACCGATCTTTCACCTTTACTACTGCCGTCGCGAGAATCACTTGGTCAGTACTCGCCACATGACTCGAGTAGGCTGTTGGGTTTTCAGAAACGGAGGGCTGTTCTACAGGAGCCGAACCAGACGTACTTTGCTGTGACTGTACCCCGTATCGGCGATCTGACTTTGCACAGGAAAAGGAAGACTTCGTGTGTCCTTTGCCTATCTCTGATTTGCCTTTTCCCTTACTCCTTGTAGACTCTTCAGCTGACAGATGCTGATAACGCCGATTCAACTGGGATGCGCAATCGGACCACGACGGCAATTTGTCGTAATCCAATTGCTCTTTGAAGCGCGATTTTGTAGTATGATCTATTTGGACATTGCTATGTGAATCAGCATTGCACTATTTATGTCCTTTCTCACTTCCTAACGACTGCAGAGAGGAGTAGAGGGCAGATACCGTGTCAATGAGGGATCTCAGGCATGAAGCAGAGGGTCTTGTTATTTGGGGAATGTCGAACAACTGCGAAATGGTGTCGAAAAAGATTAAACACTTGTTATCGTAAACATTCTTTAAGCTCTCCAGAGCCTTTTCATAATTGCTCTCAGAGATTTGGAACGCCTTCACTGTGCCCAATGCAGCATCAGTGAGACAAGCCAGCAAGTGGTTAAACTTTTCTACGTTCGTTAATGATGGGTCGCTATGCACCAAACTCTCAAACAGGCTTATGAAGTTTTTAAATTCGGAATGTTTTCCACTAAAATGACACTGATCGCCGCGATCGTTCCTATGTGCTCGCTGACTCTCAGGTACGTTTACTGCGGACATATACATAGCCCTCGTAGTAATACACACATCCTCGACCATTGACCTTAAATCGTTGCTGGGATTCAACAAATCCACATCTGCCTGAATGTCCATTAACTTGTCGCAATAATTTTCGATCAGTTCTAACCTGCACTTAATTTGAAGCGGGTCAAACGAAATTGTTTTTTCCTCGAAAGCCGTTTTCTGTCGCCTAATGTCGT